AGAGGGAGGGAGCAGGGAGAGAGGGAGGGAGGGAGAGAGGGAGCAGGGAGGGAGAGAGGGAGCAGGGAGGGAGAGAGGGAGCAGGGAGGGAGAGAGGGAGCAGGGAGGGAGAGAGGGAGCAGGGAGAGAGGGAGAGAGGGAGCAGAGAGGGAGGGAAGGCAGCAGGGAGGCAGGGCTGGGAGCCACGGTAAGGCCGCCTCCCCGGGCTCCCGGGGGGTCCGCAGCCCCGCGGGTAACGCACGACCCGAGGCGCCCGGTCGCGCTGCCCACCTGTGTTGTGTGTGTGTGTCACCCCAATCACCGGCTGCTGGTGTTCTTTGTGCAGGGGTGATTAGTGCAGCAAGGCCACGCAGCTTGCCCCAGCGCAGGGAGTGTGCCACAAGCACCCCGGGATCACCCTGCGAAGCTTCCTCCCGTCCTTGCAGAAGGAAAGGAGAAGCCACCTTGCTGTTTTGAATGGCTCAGCCGGCCAAAATAACCTCTTCGGATTCTAACGGAGTAGTAGGGCTCGGTTTATCTGCCCCCGGTGACATGACGATCAGAAGCAGTTCTGTTAAAAATCTGCAGTACTCAAGAAATGCGACTCTGTCCACCAGCTACAGAAGTGCTAGGTATGACACACAATCGTTAACAGCAGAGGGAGAAAATTGAGGCTTTTCTAAGTTTAATTTCAACTTAAGAAAGCGTATTAATACTTCTAGAAATATTGACAACTAAGGGTGAACATTCAAAGTGGTCCCAGTAGCATGAACGTACACAGCATTTCCTTCTGTCCATCAGGAGTGCATCCTTTATTTTGGGTAACACATGCACACACACACTCCACTCTCCCAGAAATAAACCTCTATGTCCTGTAGATCTCTGCAGAGAAAGAGATCATGGCTTGGGAGGCTGGCTTCATGCAGAGCAGTGCCAGCACTGGAAATCTCAAACATATACACACACTCTCTGAGGTACCCAAGACTCCATGTTTCTCAGCCTCTCTTCTCACGGGACATTGGCACAGAAACACTGGGAGAACAGCTGGTGCTAAAAAGGACTAGGGAGTCAGGTGTGGAAGCAACAGCCTTCTTTCCAGTTGTCTTCCTTTACAACAATCTAACACCCATGTACCTGCATAAGGAATCTCTGGCCTATCAAGATGAGCACATGGTCTCATTCCTGTCATTAAAGCAATCTCTTAAGATTAAATGGGAGCAGAATGCTGCTGTCATTTCAGACAACTATATTTGAATTGATGTAAGGAGTGGCCAAATGAAGCAGTTAAATCCTCTTTAAACCATGGAGCTCAAAAAGCTTATTTTAATGTTAAAGTTTACTAAACCAGACGCTAATAGTAGGCTCCTCTGTGTTCCAAAGCCAAGGACCAGAAAAGTACAACACACATTTTTGTTTTTTCCAAAGCAATTATTTTAATGAATTCATATGTAGAGGATGTTTCCATCTTGCTACTCCATAGACCAAAGGTTAAATGCATTAAAGGGAAGAGAGGCATACTTAGTAGGCCTTAGTTGAAGACTCTAGCTGCAGAAAACAATTCCCACATAACTATTTCCTGCATTAGTATCGAAAAAAAATATTTAATAAAATATTTCAGTGAAGATTTCTACTTAGTAACAATATATAATCTTATCACACCAGAAAAAAAAGACCAGAATAAGTACTGTTGATATTTAAAACAGACATAGCATAACGTCTCACTTTAACATGTAGCTTTACAAGTGCAGCACAAAATCTATTATTTCCCCATCACTTTATGTCTAATGAAATACACCTCATGTACTCCTTGCAGCTTTGAAAAAGCTATTTAAAATATTAACAGGGACTCTCATCTCCATTTTACTGTTGTGGGGTTTCTTTAAGGCAAAATAACTCAGGTTTTGCTAACTGAGAATATTAATCCACTAAAAATAGTTTACAAACTCTGAGGATTGACTTAACTTTACCAAAGTAGGAAAAAGGGCTAACTACCAACCAGCCGAAGAATTTGGTTCCGTAAGTACGTGCAGAGCTGGTTCATCAAGTCTCTGTTCTGTCCTTCAACCCAATGCATTTCTACTAATACATCGCTTCCTTCTTTCTTCACATTCATTAAACACTTAAAGAGAAAACATCTACTAGTTTCCTTGGGACCCTGTTCTTTTTCATCTGTCAAATCGCTAGCTTCCCCTGAAGGGCAAGGTTCCTCCTCTGCATTACCAGAACCATTGCCAAGTGATGTTTCTCCCTGATTTGCCTCTGTCTCCTCCTCTTTCACTTGCTCCCTGTGTTCTTCTTTGGTAGCAGATTCTTCCATTAGCTCGTCACCTGTGGTCAAGCGGACATCCCCATCAGGTGCCATAAACTCCATTTTGGAGTCTTCAGTCTTGAGGTTATCACAGTCTGAATTGTTGCTCACACTCTCCTGGCTGTTTTTTACCTCTTCCATTGCTTGCAGAACATCTTCAGAAGCTCGAGGAAGTTCTCTCAACTGCCTTACTCTTTCTCGCTTCTTTCTCCTCAAATGAATCCAGGAGTTTTCAATGGCAGTCACAAACAGGCTAACTTCGTCTTTTCCACAGGGAACACGTTTATGCTGAACCTGTTGCAGAAAACAGCAGAACTTTGTACTATCCCTTCACAGTTACGCTTTCAAGTAGGATGTTGTTTTAACATGTAACACTTAATACTGTACCTTCCGATCAGTGAGAATCTTCTCTACCCAGGCTCTAACCACAGCAATAGCTTCTACAGCATCCCAGCCCATATCTGCAGCTTTGACAGCTAATTCTTTAACTGTAGAATCCAAGACCATAAATGTAATTGGTTTTCGTGGTTTTTCTAATTTTCTTCTTTTAGAGGGAGGTGACTAGAAGAAGAAAGAAAAAAAAACTGCAAGTCTATGCAGTATTAGTGGTATGACTTCTGTACTCAGAAGACATGGGGATCAAAAGTATAAGCCATTAGCATTGACATGGCCCGTTTCACTTAACTCTAAAGAGTTTTAGATTAAAAGCAGCTAACAGGGTTGTGCACTTTATGCTATGATGGACACAGGGAGTTTATCTTCAGGCATCTGGCAAAAAGCTTCATTGGTTCCTTTAAACTATTAGTTCTCTGTGAGCTAAGAAAGTGCAACTGCTCTTGGGAATAGAGGTCAAGAACCAATAACCACACTTTGATCCAAGTTCACTGAAGGTTTACTTGCACTTTGTATAAGGTTGGTTATTGTCTATACCTATCTACAAGTATATGTACATTTGGATCCAAAAAAGCAACTGGCTCACATTATTCAAGGTGAACAAGCTCCACTTATATTCATGTAGGCAAATTTGAGCTAGACATCTTCTACTTAGTAACAGAATCAATATGATAATTGCCTGAAGTTCAAATCTAGCCCCAAACTTTTAATACTAATAAATTGCTATTTGAAGTATATTACAAGTATGTTACTTCCACTGAAACTCAAAGGGAGTTCTTATACAGGGTTCTTTTTTCCTCCCTAAACATAAGTCATTCACAAACCACATGGAACAACTTCAAACATGCTGGAAGCCAAGTAAGAAATCCCACTAACCATACAGAGTCTGAAAGAGAACAGTTTGCTTCAAAGCAGTTACAGCTCATTAGGCCCTTCCTCAAAAAAAGAGACACAATCACAAGCAAATCATAATTAAGCTACTTACAGGTACTTGTACATCATCATAGAAGCTCCATGCCAGTGCCCATCTCATGGTGCGTCCTTGACAGAATTCAGTATGAGTAACTTTAGGAACCTGTGCAAAGAAGCAACACAAAACTACATTTCATATTAATAAACAACATTGTTTTACTGCATTCATTTTCACATTTGAAAAAAGTTACAGTTAGAATAGTTTTCTTGGAAATTGAGATCTTTTCTGATATAGCTCATGGATATTAGTGACATCTGAAGCTGACAAGCTTGTGCCAAGCCTGGTACCCATACCCAGGACTTCTCATTTCTGCCCTGCCATTTCTGTGCCCTTTCAGAGCTCCAAGTTCAGCAACACACAGCACTTTCTTTTTTTGTTCAGCATTCTAATTCTGCAAAACACCCGCCTTCTCATGTTACAAAAAGCACATCCTTTCTTCTTGTTCAGAACCTGCTCCCGTTCCACATTTGAATACTGAGCCCCACTGCTGTAGCAAAGGTGAAGGACTGGGAGGCCTGTCTGCAGATGGTGGAAACATGCCCAGAAACACTTATCTTTGTCCCCCTCAAATTAAGCCTGAACTTATGCTGCCTTTAAATCTAAAACTCAGATGTTAAGTGTTGTCTAGTCTTTCCACATATGGAAGTTGTAAGGCTTTTATCTGTGGTATGGAAAATGTGCCAAATACTAGCAAAGATAAATATCAACCTCACTCTGAATTACCATCAACACCAGAGCATAAGCCCCAGGTCTACACAGAGTAGTGAAGAAAAAAAACCAAAACAACAAAACAAAAAAACACACACCACAAAAAAATCTGCTACTTTTGAAAAATGCCTTCAACAAGAGAGAGGAAAAGGTGCCTCTATCCTAGAACTTTTGATTCCTAATGCTATCAACATTTCTAATAAATACAGCAGTATCAAGACAGTCTGAACAATAAGTGGACTTTCTGGAAAATTTATGCTGCATCCTAACCTGAACCACAGCAGGTGTTTGGTTACAATTAACATATTCTTAGCTCTGATACAACCAAGATTACAAACCTGAACAAAAAGGAAATTGCTAATTTCAAGAAAAATACAAAAGGAAACCTCAGCTTTTCTATGCAAGGTTCACAAGGATTTCTCTCACTTTACTAAGACTAATGTGCAACAGTTCGAGGATAGGGAAGAAAGTAAGATACCTGAAATTTTATGCCTAGCTCAGTACCTGCTTTTGGCAATGAGTTTATGGATTCCCTATGGCCTGCAGTTCATCATTCTGGGAATTGACTTCACCATGCATTCACCTTCCTCCTACTCCCCACCATATTACAAGAGCAGATCAGTCCTCTGCACAGCCTTCTTGCATGAGTAAAGTAACACAAGGTTTGATTTTACTTGCTGCCAGAATTGAATACAAACAAAACTGTGATGCTATTTAAATAATGTTACAATGTCTTTTACGAACTAAATTGCTAGACTTCATGTTAGGAAAGAGAGTTAATTTTTTATTTATTTTTTTATTATTTATTTTTTAACAACAGCCCTGCTTAGGCTATTCAAAGTAGAAAGCCTGTATGTTTGTTTATAAAGACATTTCTACACATGATAAAGACAAAAATCTGGAGATTACATGTGCTACTTAACTATCAGCTTTGAATCTACAGTAATTCAATCTCAATTGCTTTCAGTGCTTCCTTAACAAGGAATTGCAATTTCTTTTCGTCAACAAAAACTCAATAAAATAACTCAATCATAATTACCTACATCCATCAGAAGATGGTATATATTGTACAGAACATATGCAGGATACAAATGATCTATAGACAAACTCACCCCCTGGATCCGTAGTTCTTCTTTCAATGGTGCTAAACTGCATTTCTTCCCCAACATGCAACTGTACCATCTGCAAACAACACATTAACAAAGTGTTTTACAAATACAAATCAACTGAAAATACCAACTACCAGAAAAAACTGTTTGGATCAGAAACTACTACATCAGCCACTCCTTTCAAGGTCATCTAACACCAACTTCTTCAAACCAAACTTCCCAAGTGCAACCAGAAACAATGTTGCTACTGCATTTCTGTAAGTCCTCACAGATGCATCCTCTGCCCCACCTTACAGAACCAATTAAATCATCAACTGTATACATCCACTTTCCAGATTACGGTATTTTATACAGCATACCACATGCTACTGTGGAACTTACATGGGTGTAATAAAATCATTACCTATCAAAAAACACCTCCAAAGGATAAAAACATGCAGCTGTAAGTGGAACAACATTATAAATATATATGTACACACATACATATACACACACCAACACTTCCTCTCTGCCCTGCCTCCCTTCATCCATTGTATCACTAACATATCTATAAGCTTATATATATACTTATATTCAGTTTTGAAAAATCCCCGTGTTTATTTCAGACGTATAAGAACATACAAATCTAACAGTCTGTCCACATCAAGTAGCCCACAGTAACATTCTACCTACAACCTCTGACAGAAATACCAATTATTGTTTCAGTGTCCTTGCTGGCACAAACAAGACTGCTAAAAATTCTTGAAAGTGTAATTCTTCTTGCTTGTAACCACTTCTGAACTAAAAGCCTTGCTTTGATCACTCTGCCATACTATCTATCACCTTTTCATATTTCATGATTTGAGGGATGACAGAGAAAGGAAGAACATTAAAAACATTTAAACATTAAAACCCATTTCAAGGTTTGCAAAATTGCACCTCTGCAAACCTCAACTTCTTTCTTCTTCAAAGCACTACAAGACAGAAGCACTTCTAAGAGAGTCAAATGCAGTGTTGCTTGGTCTTGCTTTACCAAAACCTGAATATATATGCATTCTTTTCAGGCCCATTACAAAACATTTTGAAGAAAAAAATCACATAGATGAAGAGGAGATTAAAATGCAAGGCTCTGCCTAGAAGGGTGCAAACAAAACAAAACACTTCTTGAACACATAAACAGTAGGCTGTATTTCCTTTGCCTAGGGCACTGATGAAGCTGTGGTAGCACAAAATTTTGGCAGCTGTATTTTAGAAGGATATTAAAAAAACACAACAAACTGAAGTAATCTCCCAGAAAAGCTACAGGACTAGTGTACAGCATAGGGGGAGGAAGGGTCTGGCTGTCAAAAAACTGAAGATGTGCCACCTGTTCATCTGGTTCAAAAGGAAGTCTCACTATGTTTTTTTGTTGCAGCCTATGTTCACCCAAGACAGCATTCAGTACAAGAGTGCCCATTAGTACACAAAGCTGCAAGTCACCAAAATTTAGCCAGGAAAGGAAAGAAATTACATAAAACAGTTAACTAGGTGATGTCATAAATCCTCCCATCCCAGGTGGCCTTAAGAATCAACACTGACTGTCTTTAGAGCTAAAGTTATGTGTGCTAATTTAGCAGTAAGCTGCAAGTGTCACTGGTACAGGCTCTTTTTGCCTTCTGCCTTTAAATACCTCCAACAATAAGTACTCAATTAATTTTACATAAACTTAGACTAATTACTGATGTGTACATAACACTAAACAAACCAAACTAATACCACTGGGCCACAGCTACATTCCTTACTTAAAATACCATTTTCATGTAACTTCCACCACAGAAGAGGCTAAAAGGTAGGCGTTTTTTTAAACTTACCGTAACCTTTTTTTAAGTTGTAGACTATCATGAATTATTCTTTTGACAAATTCTAGTTCTCCCCCCTCAGCCATGATTTCTGTAATTCCTCCTGTATTTACAGAACTGGGAGGGGGACGCCGTGGATTTCGAGAATTTACTCCCTGGATAAAAAAAAGATTTGAGATGAACTCCTAATGAAATATTAAGATGCTTTGTACACCACTTCCTGCCTCAATCTTTAGTGGGCAGCAAGTGTCACCACTTCTAGGTATCTTCCCCCCATCAGAACCATGGATAATAGACAAAGATACATTCAAAATAAGTATAACTATGTAGAGTTAATTCCCAACAATCTCAAACTTAGGTAAATTACTTGTCACACATCAGTATCCTGCTAATATGAAATACGTGGTTCAAAGACATGTAAGACATGCTGGTTACATACATCTACACAAATAAAACCTACAGTGATTAATTTCAACACTTAAATCATTCTTCTACTGCCCTACATTACAGAGTAAAGTTTCTGACTATATTCAGTGGGTGTTGCAAGAACTGTTCTGAGCTGTATGATACTGCCTGAATTACTAAGGAAATTAAAAATACAGACAGGCATGATGCCAGCAACTAATTCCTCTGTACCACTGTTATACAGTGAACATTTAATTTCAGATTTACTAGCTCTAAGACAGTAAGAACTTGTGAAAAAATTCTACAGGTCATCCTTCACTTTAGGAATAGTAATAGTTAAGTTTTTCAAAACTCTTTTGGGGTGGAGAGCAGGGATGGAGAAGACTGAAATGCTATTTCATAATTATTTGCAATTTTCCAATTGCTGCTACCCCCCCACTCACTGAACACTGAAGTACATGGAACACTATTTAGTTTTTTAACTTACCTTTGCTTCCAACTGGTTGGCAAAAAAGGGGGGGTTACACATGCAAAAATCATAAACTATCTCAGATTCCTCCTTCAGTGCATCCATTAGAAGAGTCTTCTGTGGTACCTTAACCACTAATAGAAAACAGGAATTTGGTCAGTAAGGAACTTCATATTTTATCTAGCATGCCATTTACATTTCAGTGTTTCTTGAAAAAATACATTGTATAAAAACTGTACTTTCTAAACAATACTTTCAAAAAAAACCCAAAAACAAAACACAAATATCAGCATGCAAATAAAGAATAGGATTAAGGATTAGCATACAGTTTGTATACTTCAACACAATAGTAAAATTACATGAGACTTTTTAAAACAATAGAAACTCCTTGAAGTTACAGAGTTCTCTGATGCAACTACACATTCCCTTTAAGCCCTTCCAAAAACTAGCACAAGTGTCAGTTAACCACCCCACAATCTCCTCAGATATAAAATAAATTCCAGTCTAAACAATTTTTTTTAAAATATGGAATTCTAGAATTCTTCTTGCAGATTTTACCAGTCCTGCACTTCATGGATAATGCACATAGAAAAAAAGATAACTAGAAAGAGGCAAAAGGCATGCCTCTTCCTACCATTTACTACTACAGTTGATCACCATCCTCAGAACACAAAATTGTTAGGGTAGCAGGCAATTACCTAAGTTCAGGTTGTATATAGCAAGGATAATTCCTAGAACCCACTAACATTTGCTATAGTTCTGTAAGTCACCAGTAAGTATTTCTGAGTTCAGAAATTTATAGTCAAGGGATAAACAAAATTTAAATCCTATGGGAATAGAAAGATAGTTCATTTCAAAACATATTAACAAATTGTTCCCTGTTCTACAGGCTTACCTAAATTAAACACTTAACATTTCCCTTAAAGTTGTTCACACTTCAAATTTGTGACACTTTTTTATCTCTGTAGGTATCTGTTCCCCTGCTTCCCTTATAAGATGTAGTCAGTAACGACTAATTGCAAAATGTTAATCACAATTACACATCACAATCAAAGCCTAAAGTTTTTCAGCCAGGCATTACATCAGTTGGACTGATATTTTCAGGTTACAGTTTTCCACGAAGTTGGTAAATTACTCCAGAAGCTCTTCGTGCAGTCCACACTTTTAGCAACGAGGTGTAACACACAGCTGTTGCTGTTGCACACAGAGGAGACTTACACAAATGCTTCAAACTATGCAGCTCACAGAGTATTTTACTGCCTTCCTTGTTAACAATATCCTTCACAATTTTATGAGGGAGAAGGAGCAGAAACAACACACAATTTTTTAGTAGAGAAAGCAGAAACGGGGCTAAGATGAGCACAACGCTGCAAAGATACTGTGTTAATCCCAACAGTAACACATGGTCTACTGCACATACTTCCTAAAATTCCTGTAAAGTTACTTAGAAGATGACATAAAAGAATACCACATTTCACCTACATAGCTAGCTTAATTGATGTTGCTTTAATTGGCATTATGTGATTTTATTTGTAAATAAGAAAGCAATTAAAGGGGAAGAAAGCACTGCAATAACCATGTCACAGAACAATTCTAAATTACCTTGCCAGTCGTTTGAAAACTTTCAGACTCTGAAGTGATTGACAATCTCTTAACCTACCATTACCTACAGGGTATAGGTTTTGTTATTTTTACTTCTTTTTAAAATACCTGCGGACAAATTCTGGCCAACATCCCATTCCAGTAAACAGATGCACAACTCAGAACACCATGTAATTTTTTTTTAGACAGATTTACAATCAATCCCCAGGTCTATCAGTTTCTACTTTGCACATATAGGAGAGATTCCCTTTGGAAGAAATTAACTGCAAGCAGTATTTAGCTTTCAGCCAAAAAACAGTTTCTTCTGGGGAAAAAAAAGTAATGATGCAATTAATAAATCATCGCCACATTACTGCTGGTTTTACTATTACTTCATCAGTTTTTTCATTGAAGTTAAAAGAATAAAGGCTCTATTCCAACATGACCTTCAAATCAAGCTACATGGCAAAAATTTCAAGACTCTTACAACATGACAAAAATAATTACTTTTTTTTTTTTCAAAAACAATCAAACAAGAAGACTCTGATCAGTCTAATCTGACTTCAAAATGACTTGCTAAACAAGTTACCAGCTACAGTAGTAGACTCAACTCTAGCTAAACAGCTCAGAGGCCCAGGAGTTAAAAAGTGGCAGGGTGGATCATTCCCAGGCAGCACCTGGCTGCAGGTACCACCACCAGCACTACTACCTGCGGCCCTGCCCACCACCATTTACTTTAACTCAGTACCTGTGGCATGACAGCTGCACAGGAGGCATTTTCATTTGCCAGAGGTTTTTACAGTATAGTGAAACACCACTACACCACCAAAAATCCTATGATAGCAGCAGTAACAGAAAACCACAGTTCTCCAAATTAAGTCTTGGATCTTCAAGACTGATGTAGAAGATGGACCAAGACAATATCATTTTGGTAAAAGGGATACTTCTAAATTCCAGCAGAACTAAAGGTTTTTCTTTCAGAGCTGAATAATGGACCTGCTTTTTAATATACTGAGTTCCTACAGAAAATTTACCAAGCTTCTTCACAGGCTAAATCTGTCATACTTCTACTACTACCACAGGTGTTGGTATGACCTCATTCAGAAATAAGGACAAAGGACTCTCTCTGATACCTATGTGTGGCAATGTGATGCAGATTTATCTGAGGGGAGCACTCCATATCTCCTAGAAAAAACAACATGAACTCTTATGAAGCAATTCAGCACCAGACAAAGAATACAGAGAGTGAAAAACACTCCAGGGTGAAGCTTAACCTTCAGATTTATGTAAGGATGAGTAGTTCCCTATCCACACATCCCACTCTACAAAAGCTGTGACTTTCTGGCTGAAGCATACACCAACCTTCATGTGACTTCAGTGAAAACAACTGAGCATGTATTTGTCAGGAACACAGAATCTGATACACCCCTGAACATGACAAAAAATGCATCACAACAGTTGTATGCTACTAAGTACCTTATTACATCATACCTTTTATAAGATCAGACAAGTTATTCTGCTCCACGTTCTTCTTGGCATAATTGAAGCACATGTCATCCACTTCTGTTGCAAGAAAATACCAGCCATTCAAAGTTGCTCCTAGTAATGGGTATATGCAAGATGCCCCAGTCCCTGCAGAAGTGAAGAGCCATGAGAAAGGGAAATCAAGTCTCTGGTGTTACACACAGTGCAGTGCTAACTATGTGCCTTTTACAACAAAAATAAGTCAAGAAAACACTGATTACTGCTCATCTACTACTCAGTTTCCTAGTGAAATTATTTTCTTAATTTGAAATACAGTATTGTGAAAGATGCACTTTCAATAAAATAGAGACTTCAATAACCTGGAATAAATTTTCTAGTAAATTATCAACCTCTTTTTCAGCTAATTATTTTTCTATAGGACAGTGATTAATTTATACAGTGAAAGCCAAATATATTCTGGGTTTACAACAAAAACAACAACTTATCACAAATATATTTTTTCTTCTTAATTTTAAATTATCTGCCACTAATCATTTACTTTGATGCATATAACCACCACCACCAAAAAAAATGTTCCATCAGACTGTCTCTCCCTAATGTCCAAAACAATCAAAGAAACGGAGATGCCAATTAAGATATCCCAAAAGATAAATAAAAACTTGATAGCAAAGAGAAATATATGCTATCACAAAATAAATCCTTCTTATAATGATGGCCTATGTAGGTGACTGAATTGCCAATGACAAGTAAAGTCTTGGATTAAAGGGAATGGATAAAAGAGAAAGATACCTCACCACCAAAAAATGTCAGCTTAGAGCTGTATAAAGAATCTACTGCTATACTGACTTAGTGAAACATAAATAACAGTGTCTGTCCATATGCAAAAGCATATCAGTATTTCCAGCACTCCTGTAACATCCCTCTTGGATGACTTCCTGCTTTTCCAGAGCTGGAACATCAAAGTTCACTACACACTCTAACTGAAGTTTCTGCATTATTTGGAGGACTTAATGGATCTGCCTTTTCCTCCTAGCCACCTGCTAGTCCATAGAAAACTGCAGCCTAATATCAAACATGTAGATGCTGGCTAAAAAGTTTAGAAGTTATGAAAGGAAAGCAGCTGTGCACATACCACATGGTGATATAAACCTTGCATCCATAACAAATCCAGCTAAATATACAAGTCCATAAATTTTAGGAGATAAAAAAATTCCATTAAAAAAAGGTCAGGCTAGCGAACACCAAGAAAACAGTAATGTAAAAACCAGGATTGTTACCTAGATTACTGAACTCAAGCTTTGAGGAAGTCACTAATTTTAAAGTTTTAATGCCTGCATTAAAACACAAGTTAGAATGGGAATTCCAGCTTCCCTCAATTTCATTATGAGTTTACTTCAACACAAAACCATCTTCAAAACCAAGCCTGTGAAATCTTAAAAGGAAAATCCTATTGAAAAAAAATTAAAGAGGTTAAGTAAATTAATATGTACCATCACAGGTGCCTTTAAAATAATTAATACAGAATCATCAGCAATTTGGAATTGAAATACCAATTTTATAATTAATATGCAGAATATAGCTCCTTGCTACTACAGAGATTGCTTTTTAAATTTCTAATGAAAACTAAATGATGTGCACCAGAATACAACTTATAAATTCACATCTCTACTGAATAACTGTTTGGATTAATCTACTGCTTAATCCAGATATTGTCCAGATATTATCCAGTAATCCAGATATTGAAACTGAACAAGCTGCAATGGTCCTAGACTCACTCATTGGACAGTATCATCCATCTGTGGATGCTTAGTCCAGTTTAAAAAAACATTTTGCTTTCAACAATATGCAGGAAATCTTTGACCATCTACAATCAAAAGAGAGCTTTGTGAGTATTTGCCTTGGTTTCTAATTAAGCCTTTTTCACAATGTAGCTCAGGAAAAGAGCTGGATTAAAAAAAAAAAAAAGTTTTTAAAAGGCAGATCATGCATCTGTCAAATACACCTGAAACCACAGAAAAATATTATTAAAAGGAACACCAAAAATATTGCAATGCAACTCACAAACTCTCTCATTCAGACATCCAAAAGCAAACTTAACAGACTGCTAATATAATGTAATTCATTACTAAGACTTAGAAGAAATGCTCATTAAAAAACTTTAAAAACCTTCAGAATTGCATTTTTGTATGTATTACTTCTAGCACCATTTTTGTACACCACACAAAGCCAGACTCAAGTTTGAGTTCCAGGCCACAAAAAGCCAAATAATTGCCGGCTGTGGCCACTCTTATGTTCCTGCAGAGAAACCCTACCCACCAAAGGAGCCAAATGAAGTATCGCAGAGTCAGATGGAGCCAGATACACCATGGTGAGAACAGTTTAGATTTGTCTCTCAAACTTCACGTTTGCCTAGGGATGCATAACCAATTTTAGTAGCTAGCTTCACTGACAGCAACCAACGACCCGAGTATTTTGCCTTTCCGAGTACCTATGTCAATGCCCCGCCGAAGGACTTGCTGGTCAGCACCCTGGTGGCCGATGAGATCCTCCACCCAGTGGATGTAGTTCAGCCTCAAGGGAACGGTTGGAATAAGCCTCTCCACGGGAATGTCAATCGTAAGCCCAAAATCCTCCTTCAGGAGGGTGCACGTCAGAGCTCGCACCGCCTCGGGGTCCTTGAAATTCAGGCTGAAAGGCAGAAGGAGCCGCTCTGGGGAGGACACCCACACAGCTCAGGGGGGAGGACACCCACCCACACACACCTTGTTGGGGGCAGGACACCCACCCCCACCCCCACACCTCGGGGGGGGT